AGCCTTAGTTCGGCAATGATCCATTACATGTCATATAAATAAATGCCTGTGAGAATCGCCGCGCACGTAACGGTGGGAAAATGTCAGTTATTATTTTTGCCGCGCTGCTGATAAATTATTTATGACACATTAAACGTAAATTTTTAACAAGGCTCTTCAGCCAACAATCACATCATAAATATTGGCCCTTTAGGGAACGACCCGATTATTACGTCCTCACCTTAAAATCATGTTTTTTATTATAAAGCATAATATAAATTACCATATTCGTCTGAAACAGATTTTTCCTTTATGCGTAGTTAATTCGGTAATAATAGTAATGATCGATCCGATCGTAAATTTTTAGCGACAATTAATGTATAACTTTCAGAGAAATTCCAGTTTTTGCGCGTTAACAATGTTGTTTATTGTCACGTTTAGCAACATTGTTTTTTTTCTCCTGGTTTGTATTTACGACAGAGTATCGGGTGTGTAAAGTACTTATTCCCCTATCGATTTTTGTTGCGATCTTCTCTACTATGAAAGATGGCACAAACAGAAATGCGATAGCTATTTTTAGATACAGGGTGGTTTTAAAAATGCTGATATACGAACTAAATTTGTGTGTTTTTTTTAATGGAACGCCATGTGTGTCTTTTAATAATTTTATTAGGCTTGTTGTGAGCTTTTCAAAAATATGTAACATTTTTAAGATTTTTTTTATGACATAGGACATTAAATTTGCATTAAAAGATAAGGTGTAAAGTCGGTGTTGAATTTAACAACTATAATAATAAATTGAGTAATGTCAAATGTTTATTTCCAGTTTTTAGATTATTTTAAAAAAAGTATCGCCCCCGGGTGGGCTCGAACCACCAACCTTTCGGTTAACAGCCGAACGCGCTAGCCGATTGCGCCACGGAGGCTCACGCGAACTTAGTTTCCAATTGCGGTACATTTAAAAATGTCATTTGTTTGTAATATTATTTAATAGTTCCTAAGACAAATTCAGAAATTTAAGACACGCGAAGCACCATATTTGTTGACAAATTAGCCCTGTTTAGTTTTAATCATGTCATTTTGCTTGCTGCCATTTAAAACTAATTAGGCCGTACAAGCAAATTATAAAAATCAATATAATAAATATTTTTCTTCACCGTCGAGTGCTTGCTACAGAATTCTTCGAGTATAATTTGAGATGGTCAGTAGTCATACCGCGCCATTTTATGGTCGGAGCCCTTCCTTTGTCGCCCGTGTGGCCACTTTGTCGGTATCAGGATGGTATAGCCCGGTAGATTTAAGTCTACAGGTCCGCATATTGACTCATTTATATTTTATAAATCCAATTATATCATTAAATTGTCTTTCAGTATGCCCTGAACTCAGTTTGATTCCAAAAATATTCTACAATTACAGACTGATTCGACATAAATAATCCACAGTAAAAAAAAGAATTCCAACGATAGTACTTACATTTCTTGTGATCATGTAATTTTGAAACTTCTTTTCTCGCGATAACTGCCTGGCATTTATCCATATTCACGTTTGACACCACAGATGATAAAAAGCTTACTTGTAACTGTCAGATCAGATGATGCGCGTATGTTAAAAAAGATGGCGCCTGATATTTGATTGGAGCCCATTGTTGATAAGTTGTATTCTCTCACTTATGTAATAGTGCAAACAATAACAACACAATAACAGAAATTAACCAAATCTGACAAATATTTGCTTATTTATACACAATTAAAATGCAAAGAGCAGACAGGAACATTGAACCACGGTCAAACATTTAAAGCCTTCTAGCAGTGGTCACAGGATCTTACCTAGACGACCTAGAAGACCTAGCTGTTTCAACCAAATGACATCAAATTCCAAGCCGTAACAATGCTTTCTAAACACACAACGCAATCAGTACCGTAACTAATCAATACTAAATTTTTTTTTTAATTTTTTATTTACCCGATTGTTTCGACATTTTGATGTCGCAATTTAATATTTATGTGTTGTAGATATTTAAAATATATTAACCATTCTAACGGAGACGAAAGTGGTGATCTGTTAACAATTCCATCATATCCTATCAGTATGACAGTGAGTAGGAAAGTGGTATTCCATTTGATTTTATATGTATGTTATATGTATAATTGCTATTTGTTGTGTTTCTTTTTGTTGATTGCTATATATCCAAAATAGACCTTATATAAAGTCAATAATCGCTACGTAAAAGTCAACATGCTTTTATATCAATATTTAACTAACTCTGTTTTAGTTTGACCCACATTCCTGAAAAAGTAAGAAAACCAATATGGAGGTTTGAGAGATGGAAACAATATTTTTAGTCGAGAGAGCGATGAAGTCGCCGTACTCTACGAATTATAATGTAACCTGACCTGACTGTAACATTAACAATAATTCTGCTCATATAATCCTCTACGATGCTCCTTTTCAGATTCGGAATTTTATGAAAACGATAGCAGAGTCAGACTAGAAGGAAATAGAAAGTATTGGTTATTAATTATTGTCAATGGGTTTTATAAACTGAGTCATTTTAGTGCATTGAACAAAATAAGGTTTATACGTAAGAAAGAATATCAAATTGTTAAGTGGTAGAAGTCCTGGGGGTGACTCCAGTGTTTCCTCTTGCGTTTAGTCCGGACTAACAATAGTCGTTCAATATCGGTAGTGGAGTTATCGACATTCCGTCAATAGCTGAACGCACACGTTTTTTGCGAGTGTTTTTATCGATCGTTTGAACGAACCGGTGGTTAACGATAATCGATTCAGTTAATTCCGAATATTCGTTTCGCGACGAACGCAACAGACGCAAAGCATTTGCTCTCGCCGATTGGACATATTACCGTAATTGAAGAAATTAGAAAAAAGAACGTGCACCCGCTGGATTGTTATTCGAAGAAAAGCGGATTCATATTTATGTGAACAATGCGGTTTTCGCGTTACCGCCACACAGGTGCTAGGCCATGAAAATTTTGTACTGTCGGATCCTTTTTTTAAATACTGAAGTACTCATTTCGCTACGGCTTTGAGTTACTTCTTTTCACTTCAAAATGAAAATTTTACGGATTTTTCCGAACCAAAAATAGAAACTGTATCAAAAATTAGTGATTTTTGTATGCTATATTCCATGTTTTTAATTTGGTATTCCATACTCCATACCTATTTAAATTATTCTATAATTTATTAGATAGTAATTATTTAAATAGAAATGTAAAAATAATGAGAATAGAGTTATTTGTTAATTTTTGATATTGCTGATCAATTATTTTCAATATGTATTTTACATATTGCATAAAGTAAGATGTAGGATTATTATTTGCTGAGTACTTTTTCTGATGTGACTAAATCAGATCTACTAAGCTGATCAGTTTTTCTCGCTCAGTTCAGTGTAGCAGACAAAGTTGAAGTATAAGTGTTATTTTGTCTCCAATAGTACCAACATAGAGAGAAATATAAGAAAAATAGATAACATAACATAATAATATCACATTAAAGAAATTTTTTATTTGACTATTTTCCTCAAAAACCTTTTTTTTTAATGAGATGTATTCTCTAACTGCAATGTAGGTGACATATTATCATTAGTGGAATAGGTAATATACTTTTGAATAAAATTTAATGTCTGTGGCAACTGCTGATGAGTTTATTTGTCGTAGTCTTAAGGCTCTTTGAACCAAGTTGATATTTTTTCATCCGGTCTTTGACGGATCGAAGATGTTGAGAGATTTGTGGACAAGCGGTAAATCTGGTTTGGACATAATATATCTTAAACACTTTCATATGCGGTCAACAATGTTTTAAATGTAAGGAATGTAAGGACTTATTGTCTTTGGAATGTTGTGCTGAAGCGTTTTTTGTGTTGAAACGCTCTAACATGGAAATTATTAGAGAGAAGAGTAGATGTAAGGTGTTTTAGTTTTGGGATCAATGACTCGGGTTGAGATAGTTTTACGGTTCTGTTGATAACCGATGATTTTTGGGCCTAATGGTGATGTAACAATGCATCAAGGTATCGGTTTGTGTGCATATGTAAACAGAATGACCCAATGTTAGGTCTAATTTTCTTCTGATAAGAATGTCTAAGATTGGAGTATAGAGTTTTAATGACTAAGAATATCTCGAAGGGATTGTTGTTCATAAGATCAAATAACAAAAGTATTTTCAACTTAGCGTTTTCATAATTTTGGTTTTAGATGGAAGGTGTCGAGAGTTTTTTTCTCACGGGATTTCATAAATATATTCGCGTTGACTGGTGATAACGCACAGCTGTTTCAGATGTTTGTTCAAAAATTTGACCTATATAAGAAAAATATGTTCCAGATAAGCATTTTTCAATTAATAGATTAATGGAGGACTTTCGCAAAGAGGTATTCTATGTCGATACTAACATAGACATCCTGTGGGTCTAATGTAATGGTTTTAAATTGTTCAATGAAATGAAAGGAATTAGGTAGGAAACTATCAATTTTTCCTGTAAAGAGTAAAGTGCGCACTTGTTTTTCAGTCCTAAGATAGGTTCATTAAAGTTGGCCAACTCTTTTATTGCTTCAGATTGAAATTCTGCTGATTGTGCTAAAATACTTTAAGTAGGAAATTCTCTTTAAACTTTTACATATTCAAAATAAAAATTCGTATCCTCCGGTACTGCGATGCAGAAAAAAATTCTGATAAAGCTAGTTTGATTGCTCTTTTTTGAGTTACGGTAGTGTGTTAAGATGATTTGAGAGAAGATAACAGCTTTATGACTAATATTACTTCATTCAAGAATTCGCTATCAAAAGCTTTTATGTAATATCTTAATTTGAGTATGAGTATTAGATTGCCTGCCATTAGGGACTAGAAGTCAGGTAAGATTATGCTTTAAAGGACAATTAAATATAAATTTGAATTATAGATATTAGGAAATAAACCAATTAACGAAAAAGTTGGTTGCTGTAGGAACAATAGCGAAAAAAAAAACAAAAATCTGTTAAGTCTGTTAAATATGAATTACTATTGCAGTCTTTTTATATTAACAGTTTTATATCTCTAACAATTTTTTCCTTCGTCGTCCTCAATTTCGTACCCGTCAGGTAAAGCATTTACTCTAGGATTGTGGAACAAACTTCGTTGTCCGTCTCCCCAAGGAAATCGTTTAGTTCGACGTCTCAGGTACTCGTATGGTATGAAAGGTGGTCGTTCTGGTTTACACGTCTTCCTTTCTATGTAGTTCTTTGCTGACAAGCCGATTATCACCGGAAAGGCTGCAAAAACGAATAATGGATAGAGTCTAAAAAGTATGTTACGGAATGGTAAAAATCAGTAACGCTCACCTACGAAATAGAAAATTTTTTTGTAGAAGAGATATCCCCCGTCTTTGCGCAACGGAGTAGCTGTTCTTGACGGTGGTGGAGGACATTTATGGTATTTTTTTCCACGGAAAAGATTTGGAAACAAACCTGACATGTTGAAGCTAATGTGCAACACAAATTTTTCAAAGCGACATCGAAATGTTACATCGACAGAACATGTGCCAAAATAAGTATACAGGATGTTACGTAACTAAATTGACAAATTAAGACAGCGAAGGATGATCTTAATCGAGTTTATATCGATTTGACATATCGACTTAGAGCATCCAAATGTCGATGTAACAAGTGTAAAAGGTTTCTAAAACTCAAGCACGCTTTTAGGTTCTTAAGATTGTGGAATAAACAGAATTATGTTCATCAGAAACCTAATCTATTAACAGGGGACGAATTCACAGTTTTGGTAGAATTAATTTTCCTTTTAAAGATGTATAGGAATGGGTTTTGGCTAATATACAGTGACTCCCAGCTTAAATGATGCAGTCGCTATAAGAAAAACTAACTGGTGTGGATGTTTCTTTATTTATTTGTTAAAAAACAACTTTTTGAGATTAAGTTAGTAAAGACCCTTCTAAAAAAGCGTGAATTACTTTTTGTCTTAATTATACCTTACTTAGTTAACAATAAAGAATTAATTAAAGTGTATGCAATATCAACGTCACAGTTTAAATGATGCAAAAATAATAACCGGGGTCAAAACTTATCAGTTTGAAATTTATTAATTGCTGCAATTTTTTTTTGTTGAGTTTGACATTAAAAAAAACATTTGCGCCCAGTAAAACGAATTATTTTAAAAATGAGTCGTCGGACTACCATTTCTGAGACAAATTTAATTATTACTCATCACAGAAATGTATACAACCAAAGAGACATAGCCAAAATGGTAAATAAATGTCCATCAACGTCAACAGTTTCAATGATGCAAAAATAATAACTGGGGTCAAAACTTATCAGTTTGAAATTTATTTATTGCTGTAATTATTTTTTGTTTAGTTTGACATTTTAAAATACATTTTCCAAAGCAGATGTCCTTTCGGGTCCGCAGTTGGTTAGATTATAATTGCCCAAATGTTATTAAGACACCAGCCTAGCCACCAGACTTCAATGTAATTGAAAATTTGTGGTTGACATTAAAAACAAAGTAAATAGTGCCCCAATATCTAACAAGAATGAATTAAAAGTAAAAATTACAGAAGTATGGAATACAATTTTCCCGGAGTATACTAGAAAATTAATTGAATCAATACCAGATGACTACAAGGCGTTATCGACAAAGAAGGAGGCCCGATTAAATATTGGAGTTGTTTTTCTCTACTTATTTGGTTATATTTTGTTTTGCATCATTTAAGCTGTGACGTTAATATTATATATAATTTTATTAATTCTTTGTTGTTAACTAAGTAAGCCATATTTAAAACAAAAAGGAATTCACACTTTTTTAGAAGGCTCTTTACTAACTCAATTTCAATAAGTTGTTTTTTTTTTCAAATAAGAGACATTCAGACCAGTTCGTCTTTGTTATAGCGACTGCAACATTTAAGCTGTGAGTCACTGTACTTTGATGTACCAGAAGAGGAAAACTTATTTTTGTAATCGTGTGCGATTTTGTTGGAGTGATGGAAACTTTCTCTTTGTTCTCAGTTTTCATATGACGCATCGAAAGCAATAGTCCGGATTTTCTTGCAAACGACAAATTGAAAACTGACTATTACTTATGATTCGTGATAAGTCATTCTTAATGATAGAGAGAGCGCGAAATAATGCATCGCCTGCAATTCCGACAAAAAGCTAGGTAATACCGCGGCAGTACTTGCACTTTGTAAATAAGCTTCCTAAAAACTGTAATTGGTAACGGGTATTTTTATGCGTTACCGAACACATGCATAAGAATTCGCCAACACTTAAAGAACACGTTTTTCGAATGCCAATGGGCTTATATGCCCGGTAATGTAAACCCGAACGTGTAATTTTATATTTCATGATAAATTACTATTTAATCGCAAACTTTACGTTGTAAGTGTGGGTTGAGTCTCGTCGGCAAATAAAATGATTTTATTAAATTCATTTTCCATTTTCGTTTTGCCGAACATCATCTTGTTTATGCGAATTTTATATTTATAGATTAAAGTGCGCGCCATTCGATAAGCAAATTATCGCACTCGATTAGAAAAAATGATATCCAACAATTTTTGCATCTCTATTGTTAAACCTAGTTATGAGTTAATATTAAATTTGAGAAATGAGTAGCAAGTATGACTTGAATGGAAACAAAAAATGCAGTTCCTTAAAAAAATAAGCCAATTACATGCTAGAGGCGTTAAAGGGCAAGGTTGGTTTTGTTTTGCAACTTTAACTGTTTGAATGATTTGAGTGAATTAATTTTTCATTTCTAGAATCCAGCAAAAGCGACATTGATTTTGATTATGGTACCCCACTAGTGTTGGGTCAATTGACCATCAATTGACCACTTTTTAATTGACCGGTCAATTGACCACTTTTTAAATGACTAGTGAAAAAATGTTTGAAATAACATCTTGCAATTTGTAGAAGAAGTGTGGTTGACAATATGCAGTGCAAATAGTAGCTTTGTTTGGGAAGATTGTTCGTAACGTCTGTTGGCACTGAATAGGGCAATAGTTTCTTATAAAAAAAATATAGCAGAGAGTTTACGTTATTAACATTTTTCGAGAAAACCCCTTCTCTTTGTTTGGGGACACTAATAAGACAACCAATTCTTCTACGCCCTGCCGAAGTTTTGCCATATTTGGTATTGGTATTGGTATTAAAGGGGGGGCGCTCTCGCGGGCGTCCAAGCACTTAGGCCACCAGATGGGCCCGTTGTGCCCCCAGGCCGCTCTAGAGGGCGTCCAGAATGCCGCCCCTCCTGTAGAAGGTCAGCAACTCCTTTAGCCCAATACCGTGCACTGAGTCCGGATCGATCAGGGCCGTTCCGAAGACTCCCAATCTTGCCCATGTCAAGGCAGGGCACTCGGTGAGCAGATGATACGGGGTCTCCTCCCCTTCCATGCACCACCTACACTCCGGGTCGTCTCCAATGCCTAGCAAGCAGAGATGCCTCCTAAGCCTGCAATGTCCTGTGTAGGCCCCTGTTAGTGCTCTATACTCCCTCCTGGTCAGCAACTCTCCGGGAATGCCATATTTATTAACATTTTAGAAGTAAAAAGAAAAATAAATGGGTTATAGCAATTTGTGTATAAAATAGTTTGAATATTGACAATTTGATTTAGTGAAATTAGATAAAAACATACATCGATTCGTTTTGTTTTTAACGATTGAATTTTATTTTCTTTTTATTTTTGTTTATTAATCGGTAATACGTCTTTCTCATTTTTACACATCAATTCCTGGAGAAATCTTTTTTGCAGATGTTCTTAGCTCTCATTAATTTTTGTTATATCAAATGGAAGAACTGTGTGCTGTTTTTGAAATTTCAATTCTCCTAACTTCTCCTTCGTGTTCGGATAGCCTCGTTTTGACATATACATAATGGTTATTTCATGTACAATATTTGATTTCAATTCCCGTGGAATTTTCTAATATGTGAAAATGTAATTTAATTCGTTTTGGGTAGTTAATGAAATTTTGAAGTTATCACCTTAAATTTAATTTTGTTTAAAAAATAAGTGTAATATAATTGTAATAAAGCATTTTATACCACAATTTGTAGATCTTTGTCCTTAGATATGAAAAAAAATGGATAGTTTTTGTGAATTCGTCGAAATATTTGAAAAAACCTCTCGAATAACTTTCATGTTGGGCGGCAACACCGTGCCCGTATCAAATACAAAATATGACAATATAATCTATATATAATAATTAGGTAATAATAGATTTTTAATCATCGGTATAAATTTAATAACTGAGACTCATGTAAATCCAATTTGTCATTAAGTAATAGGTTCGAATATCTTCATTTGGTCCATCTCCATACTTTTCAGGAAATTTAGTTTTTTGTTGTTTGGCATTTTTGAATTAAAATAAATGGCATAGTTAGAATCCAAACTTTTATTTTTATACGCACTTTTATGTTCGTTAATGCGTTTCTCAAATGTTCTACCTGTTTGTCCGATATAAATTTTTCTTTTAAAATTACAGTTAAAAATAAGGCTTCCCAAAAAAATATAGTATTTACAAGAGCAGATAAAGGAAAGACAGTCTCTAGAATATATTACAAAAACTAAACAATTTCTTAAACCAGACATATACCAAAGTATACAATATGACCCCAGCGAGTTATATCAAAAACAAATCAAAACTGTAATACTAATTCATCACTTTTTACTGATGGGGAAAACTATTAATTAATATTCATGAATCCTCAACCTCCAAAGTTATATTCTTTAATTAAATTACACAAACAGAATATGCCAATGAGGCCTGTAGCTTATTTTGTAACAGCACTATCAATTAAATTAAATGCCTCAACAAGATTAATAAAAATTTTAGAATATTATAGTGCCTTTAAACCTAGATATGTTATCAAAAATTCATTGCTACGAATTAACAAAGTTAAAGGCATTAAAATTCCACGTAAGGCAATTCTAGTGTCATTTGACTTCCAAAACCTATTTCCTAGCGTTTCACCAATTGACGTAATAAATATAATAGACAATACTCTCACTCAGAGACAAGTCAACCCTATCATAAAACAAGACTTGCTAGATAGTTTAATAGTTTGTTTAGACCAAAATTCTTTTGAATTTAATGGTCAATTTTATATTGCTAAAGAAGGATTAATTATAGGAAATCCACTTAGTCCACCATTTGCAGAAATTTTCATGGACAATTTAGAAAATATCATACATAAACATCCTCTGAGTAAAGGATTTCTCAGGTGGCATAGGTACGTAGATGTTATTTTTGCTTGTCGCATTGAAATGGAAAGACAACTGCAGTCCTTTTTGAATCATATTGAATCCATACGTTGAGGGACGGAACTAGATAACTCTCCCAGCTTTTTGGACTTAACTGTAACCAAACTACGGAACAAATTAGCTTTTTCCATTTACATAAACCCTCATAGACAGACACAGTGATACATAATAACTCAAATCACCCTTACATACATAAAATGACTGCCTTTTATGCTTTTATCCACAGACTACTTAATATATCACTTTCGACAGAAATATTTGAA